TTAAAAACCTTATAATTAGTAAAAATCGGATTTTTAAAATTAATAGAATCTATAATCCCTTAAAATATGCAAATTTCATTTATTAAATATGTATTAATTGACTAAAATACCCTTCTAGTTAAATTGGATGATATTTTTCAATTATTTTTAATTCAATAATATGTATTAATCACTTTCTTAAAATAGGTAAAATGATTGACTTACATTTATGCATACAATAACATAATAATTAGTTTTAATAGCCTAAGCTTTTATATATATATATATATATATATATATATATATATATATATATATATATATATATAGACGACGAGACACTTTAGTTGACCAGTTGCTGGGTGGGGATTGTAATGACGCATGGCGACATGGAAAAATTGAGATGTGAGATAGTCTTGGTCGGAGATATTAACTTTGATGCCTCTGCCTCCAAATCTCCTTTCTTTTGAGTTTTGACAACCTCTCATCTGCTCATTTTAATGGTGTCTGCAACATCCTCTGGTCCTCTGCTAAATAATACCAGCTTCTATGATGTTTTTCTGAGCTTTAGAGGCCAAGATACTCGCAACTCTTTTACCGATCATCTCCATGCGACTTTAGAGCGAACAGGAATTCGCACCTTTAGAGATAATGATGAAATCAACAGAGGTCAAGAACTCAAACCGGAAATCGAGAGAGCAATCAAAGAATCCAAGGGTTCAGTGGTTGTACTGTCAGAGAACTATGCGGATTCCAGATGGTGCCTTGATGAGCTAGTGTTAATCCTTGAACAAAGGCGGCGCTTCAATCATTTTGTTTTACCTGTTTTTTACCATGTCGAACCCTCAGATGTCAGAAACCAAAGACATAATTTCGCGATTGAAGTAGACGACGGAGTAGAAGGGTCAAAATGGACAGAGTATAATGTAAATCGATGGAAGGCAGCCCTTACAGAGGTTGCTGATTTGACCGGTGTTGTTGTTTCTGGGTATGCTTTCTTTATTCATGCTTATAGTTTAAACTTTTTTTTATTTATTTATTAACACAACTGATCAAATGTGTTTCAAAACTAGATTTTTCTTTGAGCAGAAGCAGACGTGTTCATTTTCTTTCTTCTTTTGTTCCAGGCCTGAAACAGAGTCTATCACCAAAATTGTTGATGCAATCGACTCTGAACTAGATTTGAAACTAGTTAGTACTCCAGCACATCTAATTGGAATAGAAACTCGAGTTACAGGCATCGATTCCTGGTTGAAAAATGAGCAATCTGGTGATAATTTTCTAGCGATTTGTGGCATGGGAGGCAGTGGGAAGACGACACTAGCCCAATTCATTTATAACTCACACAAGCCAAAATTTGAAAGCAGCAGTTTTCTTGAAGATATTGGAAAGCAATACAAACAGCCTCATGGTTTGCTTGGGCTACAGAAACAGCTTCTCACAGACGTTTTAGGGGGAAAGAATCAAAGAATATCAGGCGTGTTTGAGGGTACACGTAAGGTTGAGGAGGCCTTACAAGCAAAAAAGGTGCTTATTGTTCTTGATGACATTGATGATCATGACGTGTTAAATGTTTTACTTGGAAAAAGTACGTTACATACACAAAGCAAGATCATAGTAACAACTAGGCGTCTAGATATGCATGCATCGTTTTGGCCCATATCCAGGAGATGCCTGTTATACAGACTCGAATTGATGAATAATCATGAAGCATTAGAGCTTTTAAGTTGCCATGCCTTCGGATCCAAAGTTCCTATGGAAGGTTTCAAGGAGCTCGCTATACAGTTAGCCCAATATTGTGGTGGAAACCCACTGGCTCTTAAAGTACTGGGTTCGTCTCTGTTTGTTAACCCTGAAGACCCATGTGAAAGAAGTAGCTTAATAGAGATTTGGAGAAGTAGATTGAATTCACTGAATTCATTGAAAGGAGATCTTGACTTTAAAATCCACGGTATACTACAAAAGAGCTTCGACTCCTTGCCGAGTTCTAGTAACAAAGAGTTGTTTCTGCATATTGCTATTTTCTTTGTTGGTGAATATGAGGATTATGTGGTAAAGATATTGGAGCATGACTGGCATGCAAAATCTGGGATCAGGGCCCTGGTTAACAGATGCCTTCTTACTGTCTCATCAAGTAACAAATTAATGATGCATCAACTGGTTCAAGAGATGGGAAGAAAAATAGTCCTTGAAGAGTCTAAAGATCCTGCAAAACGTAGTAGAGTGTGGCAATATTATGAATCGTATCGTATGTTGGAAAAAGGAGAGGTATAGTATATATATTTGTGTATATCGTTAAACTTAATTAACTCCCCCTCTCACAACCTCCTATGTTAACCAGTCTTCTCTCTTTTCATATCTTTCCTCGTTAGGGATCAGAAACAATTGAAGGTCTGGCACTTGACAGGGCTACATTTCCATACCAAACTGTAAAATAATTCAAAAAATTTATCTTTAATTTTCAAAGCATTTCATGTCAGATATGATGTATACTAATTAATCCTTCCACTTGATGCTAATTTTGCAGCCAACAACCTCTAAAACAGATTCGTTTGCAAAGATGGATAAACTAAAATTGCTCCGGCTCAAATATGTGGAACTCATGGGGTCCTACGAGAATTTTCCAGAATTAAGATGGTTGTGCTGGCATGGATGTTATTTTACCAAAATACCCTCCGGCTTATTGATGAGGAGCTTGGTGGCTATAGATATGAGTTATGGAAACTTGAAAACGTTTGAACCTCCCATGGTAGGAATTCAATGTTGCTATTGACTTTATATCTTCTCATTTTTCGACAGTTTCTATGTGAATGTTGACCCTAGTGTCCTTTAACCGGTTTATGTTTTGCTTACATTGTTTACCTTCAAACTCATGCCCCCCTTTTTAATTGAAGCTTCATCACTCTTTCC